ACCTCCCTTTCTTATGAAAATGATCCCAGTTGCACTGATAGATAATAACAACACCAAGCAATTAAAAGCTATGGGTGGCTGGAGAGAGGAGAAAAGGTTCAGTTAATGAGCTTTTCCTTTTCCTGTGCCCAGGAGAGCCTCAGAAGAGCCTCAGAAGTGACGAGGCGATTAAAGCGAAGAGATAATTATAGATTATGTGAAAATGGGTCCCTTGGGGGGAGAAGGCCTTGACATAAACAGTAGCTGTTGCAAGTGTCTCCTGGCTCCATGCTTGCCTCCTGTGCTGTGCTTCATTGAGTTTCAGTATGCTTGGCGGCACTGTGCCAAGCAGACGGGCAAAGCCACCTGTTTGCAGCATACAGGCCCTTCCTGGGCAAGGTGGCATTCTTCAGCCAAATCCTTCTGCACAAAACCATTTAGGATCAATCCAAAGAAAGGGAAAAGGTTGCTGATAGTGATGGAGCATAGGCATCTGTTCACTGCTTTGTTTTAAAGGTAAAGAAAATAATTCCTTTCCCTCTTCTTTTTAAAATTTAGAAATTAATGTATTTTTTTTCTCCCTACCTTGCCTTTCCTGGAACTCTCTGTGAAAGACTAAAGAGCCAGTTGGTTTATAATGGTACAGTTAGAGAGAAATTAAGGTTTAATTGATTAACAATATTTAAAAATTAAAGCTACTTCAGAATCTTTGGTTTAAAACTGTTTAACTTGCATATTCTGCGTGGGTAGAAGGAAGGATCTGCCCATTCAAAATTCAGTTTACCTTCAGTTAAGGTTCAAGGAAGCCCCCATTCCAGGTCTGCTGCTTCCAGTGATTTCAGCAAAATGGAGGGAAACTGGACTTCATATTCCTCTTTCAGAGCTATTGGCAGAGAGCAGAGAAACATTTTTGGCTACTGTGTTTGTCTGTAGGGAACAAAACCTTTTGGCTGTCATCAAAAAAACCCAAAAAAGCCAAGGGCACAGACACAGTTTTCCCTCTTGGTAGGTGATCTTTAAATAAAATACTAATTCTACCTCTCTTTTACGTTGGGTCAGTAAAATGAAAAATGGATTATAGCACTATAGAAATATAATGCTAATCTATAAAGGAAACAAAACAAGATTTGCCTTTTCACATCTTTTCTATCTTCAGTGCATTTCTACTTCTCTTTAATAATAAACCTTGTATATTTCATTAGCTTGAAGTTTTGTGGTCTTTACCATTTGTAGATATCTTAAATAAGACAGATAACATGTATGTTTTAACTCAGTTTTGGTCAAAGTCATTTGATAGAGGTAATCATTTTAAATCTTCCTTTTTCCTTTAATGCCATGCAGACAGCAGCCGTACAGTGTTCCTCAGCTATCTCTTCCTCTCTGCTGCTCATTTTTTAGCTTCTGTTGAATCCATCACAAAGAGATTTCTGAGCCATTTGCAGAGTATCCACCAAAAATTGGACCGGTAATATCTACATATTACACAATACTCTGACAAACACTGTTTTTTATCAAGATAAATCATTAGGAAAAAAATCCCCCTCATCATTCCAAGTTTCTCTACTTGGGGCTCCCGGTATTTTTTACCTGTGTCATGAGCAGTCTTAATTGTTATACTACAGATTGATAATATTAGTCTTCATCTCTTTTGAATCAGATTGCGAAAAGACTATTCTGTTAATCTCTTAAGAACTCGGTTTCTGTAAATCCAAAGATACCTATATTTACTTCCTGTGTGTCAGAATGTGTATAAGCATGTAAGGTTGGACCTGCTTTTCTAAAATTTCTGAAAACAGATTGGGTTTCTTGGAACTGAGCTTTTATTTTTTGAATACTGTGGGCTTTGAGAGCAGTAGTGGTTCATGATTGGTATAGCTGTGTTGGCTACACCTTAGGCTTCTGCCAGAGTTATGCTGACAACACTTCTTTTTTCTGGGATAGCTTGTTTCACCCATGGGATGTTTTTACCCATGCCACTATGAAGCACACTTGCTAGTATAGCTATGTGCATAGTACAAGTGCTTTGCAAGTTAAGATGTTAATATTCCTGGTATCCTGTATAATACTACCAACTGTACTCTACATTGTTCTGGTTTATCTTGGTTCAGATAAAAAAATACACCGGTTACAATGATCAGGGGTGCAAGTTTTCTAGTGTAGACCCCTTTTCTTCAGTTATAGGAGAAAGGAGGGTTTTTCATAAAAAGGTATGTACTCTTGAGTACTGTTGAAATGATGTAGCCATGATGGTCCAGTAAGTGTGCAAGAGGCAAAGATATCTGTGGTTGATATTTTTTTATTGGACTAACTTCATGGTTGGGATAGATTTAAACAGTATTTTCAGGTACCACAGTACCCTTCCTTAGGTCTCTAGGAAAGAAGATGATACAGACAAGCCAAATAGGTGGGACAAAGTTTTGTATAAAACTCCATATGTAAATCTCTAGGTTAATATCTCTTAAGTTTTAATAGCAGAATGTAAACAGATAATACTTATTTATGCTACCAGCATTTTTCCCATAGTCTCATTTCTGTTGAAGCACCAGTCACAATTCTGTTGCCAAGGGCTTCTCTTCATCCCTCATTGGATGGCAAGGATCATCATCTTTAGTTTCTGCTTCATTTTGTTAGTGTTTATCTTAGCCTTCCAAGGCAAAGTAAGGTCAGTGTATTCCCAAATAAGATAAGTTCTTTTGTATTTTGATAACATGGAGTCAGTCTTCCTGAAATTTGTTTTGTCACATTCTGCATCCTATTTCTTCCTGGTCTAATAAACTCCCTGTTGGTTGTGAACCTACACCAGCAAGTTCTCCATTCTCATAGAATACTTCCTTAAAGATTATGAACTGTGGGTTCTGCTGTTTGTCTAGGTCAGTGGTTCTCAAACTTTTTAGACTTCATTCCCCCTCAGTCCATAACTTTTCTAAATATAATGCCACCCCATTTAAACTTTTATTTATTACAGTGCTTTTGTCTTTACACAGGGGCCAGGCAGTGGAGAGGGCAAAGGGAGGAGAGGGGAAGAGCAAGTGCTTACCTTCTCCACCCACATCACCCTCTTTAAGATCCTGCGACAACCCAATTGAGAATTACTGCTCTAGATTAATCATATACTGTGGCATAATAGAACTGAGTTACAGAAAATCAGAATGCACAGTGGGAGAGCTAACCAGATGCTTTTCTTAAATTGTGTGGCACTGTCATGCATTTTGTAATGGAGAGGTTACTTTGGCCTCCTTACAGATTTTTTTCCCCCACTACAACTGTTTTGTTTTGTTGTAATTTTTTTCTTTTTTTACCAACAAATACTTAGAGTTGGTAACCTCTTAGTGAAAAGAGTTATGGCAGTGTGAAGGGGTCTTAAATTGGTGTCCCTTTTAACATAAGAGAATAAGCTATACTTGTATAGGCACTTTTATACTGATATAACTGCAGCTATACTAGACCTTTATGCTTCTGTAACCAGACCAGTCCTGTTAATCTGGTAGAACTTTTGTGTGTTGACACAGCTTTTGTGAAATCCTTGAAAGTCCATAAAGGCTGAGGACTGGTGTTTTATTTTACTTTCAGTCAGTCCACAAACAATCACTTAAACTCTTGTCCAGGGTCAGGTTGACATAAAGCTTGTATTCATATATCAGAGCACCAGGCTGAAATTTGATGAGGGGTAGCCTGTACAGCAGTTTGCAGATACACATTCATTCAGCCCTGTTCTCCTGCTGGGAAATTGGCAGGTTAAGGTGCTGCAGATGTTGGAGTTAAAAATGGATCTTTCAGTGAGGAGTGATGCAGTGCTCTGTTGCAACATGTTAAACCTTCTGTTTTTACCAGCCAACATGAAACAACATTATTAACATAAAGGTAACAAGACATTTTATAGACATTGTATATAAGATTCCTTATGACATCATGGAACAGCTTTATCATGCCCAACAGTGTAGCTTGTATGCTGGAGGATGACAGCTGGGTCTTCAGTGTGCATTAGACTTAGAGAGAGAAATGTTCTTAGTAATGGTTTTAGATTTATTTGTGCAACTCCCATTGTGCATCAGTGGGATTTGCAGGTAAAATCTGAAATCCTTATACCACATCCCTTTTCAAACTTCACCCCAAAGGACATGTTACCATAACATTAAACTGTGTTTGAGCACAGCTGCACCAGGCAACCAGGCATGATCTCACTTAGTGTTCTGAGTTCAGTCTTTAGCCCCCTGCAACCCCTCCTGGGAGCTTTGGCAAGGGCAGTACACCTGGTTCTTTAGGGGAGTGAAGGGTCTTTAGTGCTGCCTTGAATAATCTCTTCTTATTCGAACACACACAAGTGCACACACACTTACCCACCCACCCACCCCTGGATGGAAAAATAGAATAGTATTAAAATATCTTGAATCTCCTTTCTAATAACTCTTTTTGTTTGTAGAGAACTGTGTCAATGGATGGAGGCTCTTTTCTGAGATATCCAGTGTTTCTGTAGTGCTTCTGTAATGTTCCAAACACCAGAGCCTCTGTGGAGGAATCTGGCAAAGAAGAAATTGATTTTGAAGAAGATTTTATAGATATAGATATATAGATATATCTTTGCCACCATTTATGAGAAAGGAAGACTAGAAAATGTGAATGAAAGTTGAATGAAGGCTTTCCTATATATATGAGGAGGGACCAAATTTAGCCTTATTTTCATTTGCAGGATTTACAATGACTTATGCCTGGGTTGAGTTTGTCTTGTATAGCCTAACTTTCTTGATTTCATATGGGAGTTTATTAGTGTAAGCAAAGTCTCTCTCTTTTTCTCTCTTTCTCTTGTACAGTATTGTTCAAACTAACTTTTACTTTCTAGGGAAACAGGCTGTGCTGTCTTGTCTTTGAGAAACATTATTCTGCATGACAGCTTTGGAAATCTGTTCCACTCCAGTGAGGATGTTGAAATTAATGTATCTGCAAGTAAAGGTAGCATCTAATGTGTGTAGTTTGTGTGTTACATAGTAAGACAACATATTTTTCCACTTTTGTTTCCTAATTAGGGAGGAGGACAAGAACATATTTGATTACTGCAGAGAAAACAACATTGACCGTGTAACTAAAGCTATCCAATCAAAAAAAGTGGATGTGAATTTGAAAGATGAGGAGGTATGAAAAGAAAAGCATATGTTGATCCTTTGATGGTTTTGCATGTTAATTCATGACCCTAGATTTTTTTTTTTTTGAATTCCTGTTTCAGAATTTTTATAATCCAGGTACTAAATATTTGATCAGACATCTATTAATTGAGGCAGCAGTGTAATCCATCCAAGCAAATAATACCACCTTGCTAGTTTTAACTAGGTTTCTGGTGGATGGACCACTAAAAATAACAGCATAACAGTACCAGGAAGTTTCTTTTTTTTCCTATAGATCTTGGCAACACTAGCACATTGAGGTCCCAGGGGCAGCCATGATGCCCCCTGGTGGCTCTGTGACTGTGGCTCACTCTGCCCATAGGGTGCCCTCCCTTCTATCTTGTCTGCCACGCCTTGATGTTCCTTATGATTCTAAAAGGGAGGTTGCTCCTGGGCTTTCCCGTGGGCCTCAGTTTGGCTGAATCCCTGCTAGGGTTCCCCAGCACCCTACTGTTCTTCACTATTCCCCAGGCCCCTCTCTGGGCCTCAATCTATAACAGTGCCACTGCAGGGCACTTCAAGCCTTAGGGACTAATTGCCTGGCTCCAATCCTTCCCTACATCACACCTCAAGCCTTGTGGGTGTTATGGTAATAGTGTTCTCTTGTTGGGGCTTTGGGCTCCCTGACATCCACACCTGTACTCTCAGTTAGGCCTTCTAGCCTTGGCCCACTGTATCAGACCTGGCTTTGAGGCACTAGCTCTGGTTTGGCCCTTTCAGACACCAGACCCCTGGTCCCTGTCTGCCTCTCTGGCCTTATACACTGCCCGCTCCAGGGTCTAGAACTGCTCATGCCTTGAGCCTGTCTCTGGCAGAGCTCAAGGTGATCATGTGCCCCTTGAGCACTAATGGGACCTCTGTATAGCACCCCTACAGTCCTAACCCAAACCACCAGTGTAAAACTGTAACTCAAACCATAAGTCCCTGGGCTATAACAGAAACACCAAAGGGGAAACAAGCCCTCTGCCCCTTTAAGAGGGAAAGCCTTCCCTTCTCTTTTTGTGCTGGCAAACCTCCCAGGTAAGGCTCTCAAGCCTCACTGTTCCTGCAGGCAACAGAAAAGTCAGTCTAGCAGCCCTGGGTAGCTCTCCTGGGCTGGAGCTCCTAACCCTGCGGCTGGCAGGGCTACACTTCCTGACAGACTCGGGCTTTGAGCTTATGTAGCTCCAGTCTGAGCCCTCTTCCAGTCAGATGAGCCTCTCATTAGCTCCCTGCACCACCTGCAAGCAGCATTGCAGGCTGCTAGCTCCCTTAAAGGAGCAGGCACTCCCCAGTGCCCTGCTACAAGTGCCAGCTGAGGTTTGTGAAGTAAGAGCTTAATGGATCTTACATTGATGTCTGGTAGCCATGTTTCCCTTTGTTGTGCACTTAGCTGGGTTAAGGACAAGTAAGGTAAAATGTATTTTGGTTAGGAAAGTGAGTGCTCTTTGCCACGCTGTTCAAGGATAAGCTAGTCAGGTTATTGTGAGTCCATCCGAAGCTCTGTTGCCTCAGACCAGATAGGTTGGGTGGTGTTTCATTTGGATTGTGTTATTGCTTCTTTCCGATTAGCCAGGCAGATAGCTAAAGAGAAACACTGGATTTGCCAGCTTGACAAAAAGTGTGATCATTACCCAGTACTTTTTCTATTTCTCAGAGTCAGAATCACTGAGCTGGGGAAGAAATGACAAAATTTAATGGAAGCATCAAGAAAGAAATGTGCATCTAAATTACAAATTGGTGTTATTTTTCAGTGCAAGCCCTTATGGTAAAAGCAAACACTTGAATGGACACACATACACTCTGTTGTTCAATCAGTATGTAACTAATGATGTCCCAGCTTTGCCACGGTGATTTCAGCTCTTGCACACTGCCACCTATCTCTGCTCTTGGTCCATAATGCATACAGCTACCTTCACCCCTGCTTCTCAGCACATTGTATTTTGGTGAACAGATGAAGTGCTTACACATTCATAGACTGAGACGCCACAAATTCAGTTGGGTTCTCTTGTAGCTCTAAGCAGATTTCTGCCCTCTGAGCCATGACATCCCCGGCTGGGGCTCTGAATGCTGATAGCAAGGCCTTTTATTATTAATCAGGAATTCATCTGAATTAATTTTTAGGGGGAAAGGGAGGGAGTTTAAAATCAGGGTTGGAATTTCACATCATAAATGAACAGAGATATGACAGAGGCTCTTTAGCAACCGCACTACTAAGCCCCATCAGTGCTGCTACTGACCAATAGTTACACAATTAAATAACCAGAATAGTCATTCAGTAAAAGTTTTAAATCCAGAGGAGCATTTATTCTCACTGTCCACAGTATATCGTCATAATAAATGTTTGCTTTTGAGATCATGTACTTTCATGTTTATGAGCAGTGTGTATCTCGTGGCTTCACGGTAACATTGTTTGGTTTTGACTTAAAGCACTCTTTTATAGCCACAATCCTTCAGAAGTTTGTGACCTTCTGGAAAATTCTCATTTGGGTTTAAATTTCTTGTGGTTGTTTTTAGCCAGAAGCTTATTTTTTTTTCAAAAAGATGATAATTTCATTAAAGCTTGATATAATTTTGTTGGACCATTTTTTGGTTAGATCAGGGGTTCTCAACCCCCAACCTGAAGGCCATGTTCAGCCAACAGTGACATATCATCCAGCACCATGGGACACTCACAGGTCCAGAAATTGAATGGCAGGGGAGTGGTACCACCATTTCCCTGCTGCCATATTTCCAGACCCATGGGGAGCATCAGGGCCTGTGCACTCAACCCCAGCACACAGGGCCTGGAGGGGACGACGCCTGGCTGCTGGGGCCAGTTCCATGTGGGGGACCAAGAGTGGATGGTGCCAGGCCCTGGGGCCCAGTTCTGGTGCATGGGGTGGGAGGGAGTGATGCTTAGCCCCTAGGGCTCAATCCAGGCGCATGGGGCTCAGTCTGGCTCGTGGACTGGCCCGCACCACTCCTCTGACTCTGACTCCTTTGAGGGGCAAACCGTTGAGCATCACTGGGTTAGATCAATGTTAATGCATAGGGACACATTCTCAGCCCAAAGGCTGCTCTAAGATGTGTTGAAGGGAGACAGCTCCCTTGCTAGTAGATAGCCCCAGTTTTGTCTGGGATATGTTCAAACCCCAGCCAAGCTTGAACATATCTGAGCAACTAGAACTGTGACCCACAGTAATTATCTTGCTGTAGAAATTTTCTTTTTCAATTGTTTGTTTAAGTGTTTTGCCTGTGTTAGAAACTGCTTATTTTAATACTTCAAACTGTCAATGTCTTAATTCTCAAGGAGGATGCATGTGAGACAAGAGCGTTTTTAAAGTAATACAGCTCTTTGTATATGGCGGTTGGTGAGCAACACTATCTGCTGTTCATCTTCTTTCAGTGCCATGATGTAAGCTCTTCAAAAGGTCTACTTGAAGGAATGTCACTAAAAAATTCCTGCCAGTGCAAACCCCATTATAGAAAAGTCTTTGACAACTTCAGGCATGTTAGCTATTTTGTTCTGTATGTCTGCAAATGTATTGGCAGATTGTTAGGAAGTCTGGCTAGCTCCAGTTAAAAATGAACTTGTGTTCTACTTGGTACCACCGTATTTTCTTGCATATCACATGCCCCCCAAATAAGACACACATCTTGTTTGGGAAAGCAGAATAAAGAAAAAGGATTTTTCCAAGATTTGGAAATAGGTGAATTCCGGCTGCAGGGACCTGGTGCAGAACCTACTCCTCTGCCTCGCACAATTTTCCTTTCCTGCTCAGCTAAAAAACTAGAGGTATAAAACAGCTGCTGAACTGGTAGTAGCTTTTGGCTGGTCAGCCAAAAGTTACCTCCAATTTGGCAATACCCATGAGAGAGTTGTATCTCTAGCTTTTGGCTGAGCCATAGGTTCTGCACCAACTCATTGCAGCTGGAGAGAGCCAGCCCCAACACCCATTCCTGCATCCTCGTACCTCCATTTTGGCATGGAAATTGGATCCTTCACTTAAAACACGCACCCCAATTTTGGATGGCTTTTTCTGGGGAAAAAGTTGTGTGGTATGTGAGTAAATACACTATTAGCCCCTCATTTTCATGAATATAAATTGTCACTATATATTTAATGGGATGACACTTCCAGTGCTAGTGTTGGAAAACCATAACCCTTTTCCACATCACAAAAGTCAATTGAACCCTTTTTCTAATAGTCTCTCTCTTAAGAGACGTGCCCTACTGTGAACTTTGTGTAGTGTACAGCATCTGCAGGTGTAATCTAAATTCTTTATTAACCCCCCCCCCCAGCCACTGCTTTCCCAATTGTAGCATGCGGGGAGGGACAAATTTGAGACAAACCTCCAGTAATTAGATTCTATAGTGGGAAAATTATAACACATTTTATATTTTCATGTATAGAATCTAACTATGGGGTAGGGGTGCACTGATAAAGATTTTCCTGGCCATTACCCATAGCTGATTATGAACCAGCTATATCGACTTATACCAATTTGATAACCGATTTACAGCAATGCAGCTGGGCAGTGTGTAGAGCAGCCCCCTGCAGGTAAGTCTGTGGAGGGGGAAGGGGCATGGCAGGGGCATATCGAGGCCCCCACGGTGAGGGAAGGAGTGGGGCAAGGGCTAGAGCTGGGGGCACTGCCCAGCCAGGGCAGTGAATGAGACCCAGGGCCAGGGTGTAGAGCATGACTGCGGCGGGCGGCTTGTCCAGGGGATCAGCATCCTGGTGCTTAAAGATGTCAGTGGTGGCATTTGAACTAAAGCTTGTCAAATGATGAACTAAAGCTGCCATCATTTTTAAGCGTGGGGATGCTTTTAACCATAGCGGAGCTGAGCAGGGTGAGGGCAGATGCAGGCTGCCTGCTGTGGGGTTGGGGCTTTCCTCCCTGCTGCCTTTGCCCCGGAGGCCCTGTGCTGGTCACGTGTCCCTACCCGCCCAGCAGCAGGAGCTATAACTTGCCACCCCTATAGCTGTTGGGCGGGCAGGGGATCTGT